ATGTTATCATTACCTCAATAAACTTTCTTACAATCAATGTTTTATTCTTGTATGACAATTACCTACTCTTTTGAAAAACAATCCTATTATGAGAAAATTGCTTGATTGCAGAAGAAATGGCTGGTTTGATTCGCGCCATTTCCAAAGCATTTATTTTTTGCTTGCTGAAAATTAATTATTTCTATCCTTGAGATCAAAATCCAAACCCATGGCTATCAACTTTCGTAAGAATTTAATTGGTAAATCATAATATGACATTGTTCTGGGTTCATTTGCAACGTTTTATGAATGCTGATGTTATAGTTTAACCCTTTCAGGGCCAAACTTGATGGTTAACTTGATTTGATTTATTATTCAAATTCTACTACAATAATAATTGTTAACAGAATACTGATAATAATAATATAGATAAATAAAACAACAAAACAAAGCAACTAGGTTAAAGAAAAATTGTAATGTTCAAAATCTTTTCCACAACCATTGTCTATTAAATTTAAGGGAAGATTCCAGTCCCCCTATTTATTCCAATCCCCCCTCCATTAATCAAGTTTCGGGGATTTTCCCTGCCCCCCCCCCTCCCAACTATTCCAACCCCCCTTTCTATTAGGCACCAAAGAGTAAGATTTAAAAGGATGCCAGTTGAAATTTCAGCAGTCATTGTGTATCTTGTGTTTCTTGTGATCCAGATATGGAAACCAAGCTTAACAGTTATGTGTATGTTTTAATAAATTAAAAAAATAGGTTAAAATAATACCAACCTCCCATTCATCTCCATAACCCTCTTTAGATGCTGCTTTTCGAATGATAATTGGTGTTGTTACGAATCTTTTTGGCAATCGAGAAATTATCTCTCCTTCAAAAAGCTCTGCTTCTGGTTGTCGAGCACGTCACTTGTTTCCAGTGGGACTTGTTTTGTATCCTGCCTTTTTTGGTTTTGTGTATGTGTCATACGAGGATGGTTTTAACTTTATGAATTCCTCTATGTGTTTTTCTTGTCTGTTGTGGACCCACCTGTTCCATGTTGTTGCTTCAACATAAAAGTTTTCGTACCCTGGTGCCAAACGATACTTTCCCTGACCCACATCCCCGTCTAAGTGCCCTGGTGAGAGATCAAATTTTTGCCGAGGTCACGATGATTGTTTGGCGGGGAAAATGATGGCTAACTTTTTAACCGGGGAACCCTACATTTCTACCGAGGATAGTCTAATTTCTGGCGGGGACATATAGCTACATGAACATGATAATTGTAATTTGACTGCGTCCAGTCTTCCTTTTGTGAAAGACTGCAAACAGCTGGCTAAGGTAGGTGTAATGGACTCGCGATCATACAAACCTTGGGAAAAAGTAAATAGTAAGGCTAGCAAAGCAGCATACTTGGGTTTTTTCGGGGCCCTTTGATAGAAACTTGGACAAGCCAACAGTTTTAAATGACTGTTATCTTAGACTGCATGCAGTCTTTCTTTCTCAAAATCAAATTAAGAGAATCGTTTACTGGTGCGTATTCTTTCGATTTTCTCGTATTTCTATTTTCCACAAAAAGAAGACTGCACGCAAGCTACTGTTATCTATACCTGAAACATATGACCCATATATGATAATAATATATATAATAATAATCTACCATATTTATACAGGATAGCCTTTTCAGTAAAGATAATACTGCTATCATTAAGGTTCCTGTTAAAATAAAAGTTTGTAAAGTAAAAGGTTCAAAATTATAAGAGATTGAAGTTAAAGCTTAAAAAAGTTTAAAAGGTTAAAAAAGTTACACTACAGAAGTTAAAAAGGTTACACTAAAAATCTAGGTTTGTGTCCCTGCTGGTTGCTTTAAATTTTAAAAAGTGATTTTTCAGTTTGCAAGCTATTTGGTAAGTTATTAAAATTCTTTGCACCCTGGAATAAGAAAGTTTTCCGGAGCTGTACCAAATCTTCATTTGCTAAAGCCTTGAAGACTTTTCATCGGCCCAGACTTCATTGCAGTTGCAATCTCTCGCAGTGCCGCTCTAGTTTCGTTGTCAATATTATCTTTTGATGTCAAGTTCATGTAGTCTATTACACCGTTCTAAGTCCCGATGCAAAAACATGACTTCCTTGTCTCCCCTCCTTCAAGATTTGCTTTTCTACAGTTACGAAAATCTTCAACAGTAAACATGTCTTGTTTCTTTACAGAAAGAAATCTCCAGAGTAATTCAGTATGGCATATATCAAGTCCATCCTGTGAATATGAATATGTTTCTGCACCTCCTCATTCCTTTTCACTTTTAACTGAAATGCCAGTTTCTTTTGAATTGACATAAGGAAGCAGAAATGTGAAAGCATCGTTTGTAAGATGACGCGACATTTCAAGGTACCTGATGTTGTTGCCTTGAACGTTTTCTGTGATATGGCCAAAGAAGCACTCAACTAATCTTGTGGTGAGACATTTTAATTGTTTCTTCTCGATTAGTTCCCCCTGTCCAATGTATGTGAAGTAATCTTTGATGTAACGCAATGCACACAGAAGGGCAACGTACACTGCCTCAGCGGTCTGGGAAGCCATCGATCTATCCGTGATGCCTAGTCGATCTCTTTTTGTGAGATCCCTGATCTTTGCAATCAATTCTGACAGCGGTTGTGCTGGTTGCTGCAACGTTTCCGACCCTCCTTGCAAATGTGAAATACCACTATTTAACTTTTGATAATGTTCTCCATCAAGATTTGCCATCAATACGGCGATGTCGGAGCTGTCGTAAACAGGTTTTCCGTCAAAATGAGTCCCTCTTTCCAGAGAGGCTTCTGCATTCTTTATGTTATGGCCAATATCATGTATGTGAATGACATCTGAATCAACATGATTGCTATTGAATGACTCTGTTAAATCTTTTGAAACACTTTTGCCATACTTTTCATACGATGGATCCATGTCTGAACAAGTAAACATTGTTTTAAATCGGCAACAGGTGATATTTTGTTGTTTGCTGATAATTTCTTCGGCATATCTTTCGCATGGTCTTGAATCTGGTTTCCAAGTATCTTAGATGTCTTTGTGAATCCCACACACTGATCTACTCTTCGTGCAATCTTTACACATTACTTTGCAATTCGGTGGATTTCCTGACGTAACTGCATGTACCAGACAACGAGTACAAGAATTAACATACAGAAGAGCCTCTTTCACACGTTCCCTAACTCCTTCCCACTCGCCTGTTTTCTCGAAATGATAGGCAGCCACTGGCACTGCAACCAACGAATCAAGCAACTGAATCATAAAAACCTCGGTTTCCTTAACCCAAGTCCGGTCACCTGTCTTGAAATAATTGATCAAAGTTTTAAGCATTGTAGAGAAACCGTCCTTGCAAAGTTCCTTTGCTTCTTTTGCATTAATAGCTGGCTGAATTCCATAAATTGTATCATTGAAGTTTTCAGCACCTGGGCTTACAGCTTTTTGATCAAGCGTCAAGGCAACATAAATTACTGACGACATGTCCGTCACGTTCTTCACGGCTGTGACTGGCGAAAGAAGTTTTAGCAAGATTTCAATAAACTTTACCAGCACTCCACTTTTCACCATAGGCACAACCATTTTGTTTGACCATGATGCTGGAGATAGGCCAAAACGAAGTACTTTCTCTAGAGGTGGGAGGACAGCCTGTTGACTGTCAAACGGTTGTATACCACTACCAACTCCATGCTTTCCAAAGTAAATGTTGTAGGCTGCCTTCCCAGAGGTTGCATCTCTCATTCGCTCTTGCAAGTACATCATAGCTGGAAATCTAGCAAACATATCTGTAAATCCACGGGCTGGATCGGTGCTTAGTTCACCATACATGGAAGAAAAGGCATTTATCTCTTGGAAAAAGGGGTGTTTCACTGATTTTATCTGCCTGTAGAAACACATTCATTCGAGTAAGAGTGGGGGAACTGCAAACGCAAGACAGGAATAAACTCAAAACCAACTCGGAGTAAAACATAATATAGAGTGGTACTCTTAAGTTTGCGATAGAAAATAGACACCAGACAGGAAATATTCTGCTTGCGTATCTTAATTTTTCAATCTGCTAAATCTATTGTAGGAGATCTATAAATAGATACGATATCGTAAAGACTACAAATTCATCAAAGGATCAACAGAAAAAGAAGAGCTTAGTGTGTCATCCATATGTATACAGTCTTTGACACATAAAGAAATCAAACAGCCACGTGACCATTTCAGAATTATTATAAATTTCTAAAGTACAATGAGGAGTGTATCACTCTTCCGAAAAGGCCAATGAGATTTTTCAAAACAATGCGATATCAGTCGAGTGCAGTCGTTCAATTTTCAACTTCTAAAGTACAGAGAAGGTTCTTTTGATTTTTTTTTTATTTAAAATAACGGTTTCAGAAGTTGCAAAAAATTTGGAAAACAATCTTTTCAGGGTAACATGACACCTTTTAAGGAATTTTGAGAATCAAACTTCAGGTCTTTTCTTAGCATTTCTTGTTGCTTATAT